TAACTTATTTTGCACTCGTACAATGCAAAATACATATTGATTAGGTTGGTTGGCCATCAAGTACCATCCTATGGCACTCAATTCATATATCACCAATACCATAGTACAGAGTTATGTTAACAACGAGTCAAAAATAAGACTAATATACTAAATTTTTATTTAATTAATTGTAAGGATGAGATTACATTGTGAAATGGCCACGATGTACCACGGATCAGCCTGCTATACCTTTTTACGAACATCGCGTCTCGTCTCGTACAATAGAAAACGGTGAAATGTGTATTACGTAGAGACAGCAAATCTTCTAATAAACATTATACATGTACACAGATTATATAGGTTAAAATGACCTTCGGTAAGTGGTGGAAAATCTTAATCTCAATTGTAATTCGCCTATTAATTATATCATTAATGATTGGTCCAAATTAACGACCCCTGATTGGTTAATTAGGCGAATCGTATCGTATCCCAAATTGACATTAAGCTCCGTGGGTTAGAAAACATGATTTTTGTTTCCTATAGAGTGGCTATTCTATGTATGTCAATAGGAAGGTAACGTAAGTTCCAAAAAATAGTAATTATATCCGGCACTCACAAAAGTATACAAAAAGGAATTTAGTACACAAAACGAAAATCGATATGAATGCATTTTATATTTCACGGTACTCAAGTTTTAGTTTGGTTTAAAATCGCATAAATCACTTTCCATGTTATATTCGTGTTACTACCATTAGAAATGAATTGATACAGCCTTTTTGGAAACAGAGAGCAGACGTTTCTGTACTATTTATATTTTATTGCAATGGCAGTTATTTTGTATTCTATTTGTTTTATTAATAATTAACAGATTTGTTTTATTTATGGTTAACTTTGGCGTTGCCGGTCTGACTTTCCACAACGATTGATTTATATTGCATACTTAAAAGTGAGTTTTGACAGGATAACAATAAGTTGTGAATGTACAACGCTACTCCCCGCCATGTGTGTTGTCCTAGTTGCAGGTACCTAATATATGGTTAGGTTATCGTAAAGAGAATATTTTAAATCAGCGTTTAACTGGTTTTCATTGAGAGCCAAGCATTTTAAATATAATGAAATATTCTTTAAAGTAGTTTTATTTCACAATAGTGTTTCTAGAGCGGTCAAAACCTAATCTGTAGAATTTATTTATATTAAATTATTCAATATTTTAGGAATTGCACTGTACAGTGATGTTGTGTTGTTTGTTGGGCAGTGTTTCATTGTGAATTGATGATGGAGCTACAACTGGGGTGTCGTCACCTGCGCATGCGTCAGATGGCCATAGCGTGTTTTTGTTTACAAACAAGTGTCTACCCATGAGCCTTTGCGGTTTTAGCGTGTGTTGTTATCGTCGCTTGGGACTCAATTCCTGCGCGTGCGCAAGTGACGACCCTCCCGCTTTAATACGCAAACTAAAGAACAAAAAATGCACGATTGCGCCAGCTCGAGTGCAATTTACAAGACAAACCAAATATGTAGGTTTATATCTGTAAACCCACTCTTCCGAGCGAGTGTTTTGGAATTATATAACCAAATAACACACAATAAAATTGAAAGATTCAGAAATCGACTCTAGCTGCTGTGGTTGATGTTTTTCTTTTGAGCAGCAGTACTCTGGACCCAATTTTCAGATCGACAAGCTACGTGGACGCATAATCACATAGCGAGTTTAGCAAATGAGTTGTGTTTTAATAAACATAAATCAGGTTTGCCTATTGTCATTATATACAAAAGAAGTTACGTAACAAACATATACCCAAGATTACACGCGTGCATAATTTAGCTTTTCTGGGTTGTGCTTTCAATGAGATATTAATAGTATGTATGGAGGTGTAACTACACACGTTAAAAACAACGTATTAATGCTAGAACGGGTCCGTGCATCATACAGACACCGCCTTCCCAGCTAATTTAATGTTTTATATTATATTCTGTTTGTAATGCATCTACTAATACATTGCATTTAATAAATATTCGGTACATTCCAGATATCGCATCATCCATTCGTATTGTGGATATAGGTATAAATAACAGTCAGATGCAGATGTTATCGTGCGATAAAGCTGTCATAATCGCTCATTGAGCACAGTGTAGTGTGACATTGTCCAATGATGGCTCTGGATCTAACTCTGCACTATAATGATGTGTATCAATTGATACCCACATTTTGATGTGTTCAAGTACGACCACAGCCATGACAGTATAATGCCGCATGGGCGGCTTGTTTTGATTTATTCTAAATAGATAAATTCATGTATATAGACTGGAAATCTGAAAAAGACCCTAGAATTCACTTTAGGGGGAACGGAATGTTAGCAGGTGTGATCCATGCTAGTTATTGACTTTGATCAATACTGAATACATTAAGCCCGGATGACACTCAAATTTAACCCTATTGAGAAAATTAGAGCAAATTCAAAATAGCGAACAGCGTTATGCATGATATTCTAGTAGCCAATCATTATTTCAAAAAAAATATCAGCTAAATTTCAGAAATACATAAAATTCATATTCATTACAAACAAACATTTATAGTTATCACTAATCTATACTAGTGGCATGTTTACATATTATTTCCCACAACAAAATTAAATTGATGATGTACAAAATATGATGGTATATACATATATATATTCAAATTGTTCTTTCATGTGCAGATAATATCATTGCAGCAGTAGTGGCTATATGTTCCTAGTCATAAACAGTCACTACAACCACAGGCCCAGTACACTGCAGTTTCTTAACACGACAGCTACACGTAACTGTGTCACAGCTTCTATAGTTGCAATGTATTAATGCAAGACAATTGCTCTGTGCAGGAACATCGGCCATTAGTTCCAACTGACCACTAGTTTTAGCATACCATCCAGTGCCTACTGGTGAACAGATAAGTGGCCGTGGAATGTTGGATGCACACCAAAACCATGCTCTGGTAGTGTGCACGTTTGATGTGCTGTTGCAAGCATAGTTGCAAGCATGATATTTGCTACCCCTAAGAAAGAGTCTGTAGCGGACATCATTAATTGAGTCATCTGTTGATTTGGTTGTTCCAGTCTACAGACAAACCTTGACCATTGTCGTATCAGTCAGGGCACAACACCAAGATCATCTAACAAATCAGCATATTCAAGGAATATTTTCCAAGTGGACGTTTTACCAAGACCACATAACAGTGATAGAGACTGACAGTGTCAAATCTTGTTACTGTGCGATAAGCTAGTGCAGGTTTCTGCGTATTGTACTGGAATATATCACTGTTTATTTGCAGTTCCCGAACAGAGTGAAATCAGAACGAAAAGTGCACTAGCAACACCAATACATCAGTATCTCTGCATGCGATTATGGTCCGTACATTACTTGTTCTTGTTACTTCTATAGTATGCAAAATAATACATGTATCTGCTTCATCGTGATTTGACATTAAGAAGCTGATATCAGTACCATGAGATGATTCAGCTCTCTATTTTGTGCCAAATTTGCTTGCAACTGCCAGCTCTTCGAACTTATGTGACATATTTAATCATGTGTGGATCATAGCCATCAAATTCTACATCCACTCTAAAATAAGTACCAGTGAAGTGATTGAACACAGCTGGTGTAAATATGTCAGCAAGATCTCCAAATGATCCTACATCTGATGGCTTACCAATTGCTTGTATTAGCACTTGGTCATCTTTTTTTGGTACATGTATTGAAATCTGTTGAAGGGAGAATATCTGTTGTCGACTGAAGAATGTTTTCTGGTACTGTAGCTCCACTGCAGTATCCGCTAGTGAAAGTGGAACTGGTGACAGTTCATGACAGAGAATTTGCTTTGGATCTACTTCATGGCAAGCATCTTGTGATACTATTAAACGCTGGAACAATACGTTAATAGTTTTCTCCATTTTGTAAGTCACTGATTTGCTTTGAGCTTGACACATGGTTTTCAAAGTTGGACTTTTGGATTGTTGTAATCCTATATTTTGTGATCCTATTTAATAAGTGATTCATCTTTACTGCACCACATGTATATGCAGTCAATAATGCAGGAGTGATTTTAAAAGTGGCAATACCACGGGTAGCCATACTCACTACATCTTTGTTAACTTCGTTGTAGACCCCAACCCTTTCAAGTTGAGTATTAATATTTTGCACATCCTGGTTATCGCGCTATATTCTAGAAAGTCCACTATCATTTATTGAAGGCGAGTATTCAACATTCTTCTTCATTAATGTCAAGCATTGCCAAAGTCTCATTAACAATGTGGCTACGTTTATTGAATGTAGGGCACCATTAGTCTCCTGCACTTTCTAATCTGGTTATCCCAATGAGGCCACGAGCGACTTTTTCTACTTTTTCTACATGTTCTAGTGCCTGGTCAGTTGATAGCTAAATAATCTATTAGATTCACTAACACTTCAGAATCTTCATTATTCTCTAGTGACTGTACTGCAAGAGTTTATGCTTATTTTAGTTGGTTCTCTTTAAACTCTTTGTTCAAATCGATTATCTTGAGCCATAGTAGACTCTGGAGTGCCTCAAATGTGAGTTTGTGTGCAGGCATAGCTCTGTTGTAGGATTTAGCTTAAATGTTGCTGTGTTTTTATCAAATTCAATACTCTTTGTCCAGATTTCTTGATGGCCAGAATCGGATAAATGCCTACCAATGGACACTTACAGAAAAAATAAAGATTGTTTTACACAATTCATTGTTGGACCACTCGAGTTCTTTGGCTTCACAGTACAATTGGTCTAAAGTTATCACTGTATATTGACCTTGGTTCAATATACTGGATATTCTGATGCAATGCATAAGGACTGCAGGAAGTTATTTGCTGTGTACCCATGCTATGTCTTTTGCCTGGTGTGCACCTCTTTATGAAACTTTGGTTGCACACGAGAAGAAGAGTAGGAAGCATTTTCTAATTGGTGAAAAAGCTCAGGTACCTCAAATAACCCTTCCTGGCACAGTGCCAAATCTGGTTTATGTTGTTGCTGCACTTTTCCTCTCTGGAATGCTATTTGTGTAGCATGGAATTTATCCATTCCATCAAGGGTTTCATAGATCTATATTATGTTTTGCAAGTGTTGCTTGAAGACGTCTCATTTGATCATGTTCAATGTCCTGCTCATAGCAGCACAATTTGTAAGAGGGGGGCAAGGGTTATTTTCGTTCAACGTAATTGCAATATTTTTTTGTTCGTACAACGTAAATAGAAAAAATAAATTCCGTAATTCTGTAATCACAGG